GGGGGGGTTGTTCTGGCAAGCCTAGAAAGCAGCAGAAGAATTAGGTTCAAAGAAAGTGTTTTGGCAGTTCAGCAGCTATCTCGGGAGCCAGAAGGGAAGGCCCCAGGTAGCTTTCTCTCCACATCGCTCTGGTGTGGAGCATTCCCGTTTCTCTCGGCCTGTCTGCTCCATAGACCTCCCATAGTTCAGCTTCCTGAGCTCCTCCAAAACTTCACCTTGGAAATATATTTAACTAACTCTATCTGACCTTCAAGCCTATGTGATCCTGTGGGTCCAGGAAAAAAACAAAAAACAAAAACTAGCAACAGACTCCTGACTCTTGGTCCAAATTCTCGATAGAGAGAGGTATTCTCTAAGCTTTGTGCGGTGGCACTGTTGTAGCCAATGAGGTTTATCCAAGGCACAATTAATTGAGAAGTGTTCTTTGGCATCAGTGGATACCCTGCTTTTGAGTTAGGCGCTGGTTGAGTCTCTCTGGGATGGTAGGGAAACCTGCCCACTGGCGGCCATGAGAGAGAGCAGTTTCTCTAGGAACTGATTCGACATGCCTACCTGAGGAGAGAGAAGGGAAAGGCAACTCTAGAGAAGACACTTTGATGGTTCCACACAAATCTCATTGGCTCCTTGGCTTCTGTCTTTTACGTGGCAGCCCAAATCTCTTCCTGTGTCAACATCTCCTTTGAAAAGGCGGCTATAATCAGGTAAACTGGGTGAGGTGACCTAGGGGAAGGTAGATGGCCAGGATGGGGAAGTGTGTGATGTGAGGCTGGGGAGGGGGATGAACCCTATTGCCCAAGATCAAAGCTAGGGAAATAAAGTTTCATTGCCAAGTCCAAAGGTCAGGCACAGTGGAAAATCGGACACAAAGCCAAGGTCAGGAGCCAGCAGAACTAGAAGGAAAAAAAAAAAGGAATAGGCCAAGGAAGAATAATAGGCGGTACACGGTGGCTGCTGAGGAGCTGGTAACAAGCCTAGCTCCACTGCTCTTAACGTACGCTCATATACAGAAGGGTCACAACGAGGAAGACGGAGCCTGCCTGGGCTGAAGCCCTATCACCAACGGAAAAGAGGAGAAACCAGTGTTTCTTAACCCAAGTCCATAAACTCCGTAACACAAGCCCTGTTCATTTGTGCGTTTTTCTGATATTGTTAAAGGGAACAGCGCCCCCAAGAGGGTTACTTTAAGGCCTGATTCTGGTCGTCCCGCGAGAGGGATCACTGCGGGGTCTCCCGTCTTGGCGTAGGCCTCGAGCGGCCGAAGGCCTCGGCTACCCTCTAAGGAAGCGGAATCCCCCCGCCTCGCGTGCCCCAGGGGGCTCGCTGCGGCGCGGCTGCCGTCTGAGCTAATTCCCCCGGGGTGAAAGAGGAAGACTTAAGCCAGCGGTGGAGGACGGACACACTCGCGGAGGGACGAATTAAAAGAGGGGGAGCGTGACTGGTGCCCCTCCGAGCAACTGCAGGCGCTGCCCAAATGCGGACATTGACGGCTCAAAGATTAGCGTGAGCCTGGCCTGCTTCTTCATAATCCGTCCGTTCTGTCGTACGGGTTAAACAAACGTACCCTCGCACTTCTGGTGGGGTCCGTCTGGAGTCCCGGGAAGGCGCCCCGGCCCGGCTTCGCGTTCTGGCCTTTGTCCCACCTCCTCCAGGGCCGTGCAACCGCGCCCCCCCCAGCTCCGCCACTGGCACCAGGGGAGCGGTGCAGAGCCCCGCCCCCAGCCCGCCCCTCGGGGGCCGTGGCGCGCGGGCGTGACGTGACGCGTGTCGACGTTGGCGCACGCCGAGACGGAAGAGGCGCGGGCTGGGAAAGGAGCGGGCTGGCGGCTGCGGCGCCACTGTCCCCATGGCGCTGTGGCGCGGCTCTGCGTACGCCGGCTTCTTGGCGCTGGCGGTGGGCTGTGTCCTCCTGCTGGAGCCGCAGCTGCCCAGCTTGGCGCTGCGCTCGCTGTGGAGCTCGCTACAGCTGGCGCCCGTGCCCCCGGGACCCGGCTCCCCTGAGGGCCGCTTGGCGGCCGCCTGGGACGCGCTCATCGTACTGCCGGCCCGGCGTTGGCGCCGCGTGGCCGTGGGGTGAGTGCCTGCGGGCCCTGCGTCTCTGGGTCTCTCCAGGAGGTGCGGGTGCTCCGGGCCTCCGAGCGCCGCCTTGGCGGAGTTCCGGCTGCTGGGGAGCTAGGAGGTAGAACCGCGCGGAAACGGGTTCCCAGACGTCCCCCGGGAGGCTCCTAGGCGCTGGTGTCCACGCTGCCTCCTTGGCGAGAAGCGTCGGATGTCTGGGACCAGCCCTGTTCGTCACTGCTGTAAGGACTCAGCATACTGCTTTTTCCTCTTGCCTGGTCCCTGCGCCCTTCTCTCATTTCCGTAGGACCAGCCTAATAGCCTCTTGCAAATCCCGCGCAGCCTAACACCCTCATGTACCAGTCTCCTTCATTCCTGTTTCAGTTCTTTTGGCGACTGCGTTTTTGCGGCAACCAATTTGACGGCATTCGCCTTCCTCTGAACTTCTTGAGTGAGTGGCGTGGTCACTGAGGAGTGACCTCAGTGCTTTAGCTACCGACTTTCTCTTTCTTGTTTCCCCTTTTTTTTTTTTTTTTAAAAGATTTTATTTATTTATTTGAGACAGAATGAGAGACAGAGAGCATGAGAGGGAGGAGGGTCAGAGGGAGAAGCAGACTCCCCGCTGAGCAGGGAGCCCGATGCGGGACTCGATCCCGGGACTCCAGGATCATGACCTGAGCCGAAGGTAGTCGCTTAACCAACTGAGCCACCCAGGCGCCCCGTTTCCCCTTTCTTAATACCATAGTCTGGGAGACCACCACTCTACTGAAACTACTCTCAAAGCTCACTGGTGACTTGTTGATTTTCCAATTCAGCTGTCTTTTTTTAGTCTTCGTTGTCAACTCCCTGCAGTTCTTCCACCAGCTAAACTTGCCCTTCTTGAAACTCTTTTCTTCCCCTGACTTCAGTGACATTGCATATTTACAGTTCTCCCAACTCACAGTGCCTCCTTTCTTTGTATTCCTCATTGTTCCCTTCACACTAACTTTAAATCCTGTCTCAGTTCAACTTAAATATCTTGCCATCAGCTCAGAAGCACGATACAAAAGCAGACCTTCTACGAAGTACTCTGCTAGTGTTTGTGAGTACTGGGGCAAGGGTAAGGTAGAGCAAAGTTATCCTGAAGATTAAACGAAATAATTGTGTAATCTTGCATGGCGTCTTCTGTAAAGAGCAGGCAAATGTTAGTATTTTTTTTTAATATTTATTTTAAGTAATCTCTACATCCAATGTGGGCCTCAAATTTGACCCTGAGGTCAAGAGTCGAATGCTTCATGTGCTGAGCCGGCCAGGCACCTCATAGTACTTTTTTTTTTAATCAGCATATCGTTTCTTGAGATATATCTCCTTTTACCTCTTTTTTCAAGTTCAGGCCCTTTCAGCCACTTCCTTATCAGTTTCGGTTCTTTTTTTTTTTTAAGATTTTATTTATTTTGAGAGAAAGTGCACAGGCGCGAGTGTCGGGGGGAGGCAGAGAGAGAATCTCAAGCAGAGTCCACGCTGAGTGCAGAGCCCAACGTGGGGCTCGGTCTCGTGACCCTGAGATCATGACCTGAGCTGAAATCAAGAGTCAGATGCTTAACGGACTGAGCCACCCAGGCACCCCTCCCTATTAGTTTAAGTGTCCTCCCTGGCTTTATGCAGGTTCAGCAGATATCAGCAACTACAGGGTATGTGTCAGGTCTGTGCTAGGTTCTGAGGATGCAGAAATGGGTGAAGCAAGGTCCCGGCCTCATTTGTTGAAAGCATACATTCATTATTAGTGTTCCAGCTGGCATGACAGAATACCAGCTTCATTTGAAATCCCACAAGCAGGTACGCTGCCCCTCCTTTGAAATCTAACCTGCTATCTTCCAACACAATCTTGTTCGTTTTTCTTAATCTCCCTTACAGCAACAATGTGGCATGAACACAGAGACAGAAACGGGCTTACCTTGTGCCTCTGGTACTTGACAGCTGTGTAATCTTGGGCCAATCAATACTTATAAGCTTCTGTAAAAACTGGATGACAATATTTGTATCTACCTACTTAAGGTTGTTAGTAGCAGAAGCTGAGCTATCAGCTGACAGGCTGAAGTTTAGGAGCATATTGAGGAGCAGGCTTACAGGCTTTGAAGATGCCAATAGTTAGGTCGAGGTCAGAGAGTGTATGGGATCACACCAGAGGAGAACAAGAAAAGAAGGTAAATGGCAAGGGTGGGGTTCTGGGAGGCACCAGCATGTAAGGGGCTGGTGGAAAGGACCCAGAGAAATAAAGGATAGGAGCCCACTACCGTATCTTTCTAAGATGTGCCACCTCCCCTGCTTCAGAATCGGATTCTGGTGCCAAAGACTCATTGGGTGAATGATGAACCTAGTGTTCATTCCCCAATACGTGGCTTCACCCTGACCTTTGAAACCTACCTTACTCTACTCCTCTGTTTAACTCTCCATTCTAACTAGATCAACATTCTTATTGTACCCAGAAAAAAAGTTAATCCCTTCATTCGCATCTTTGCTTGTGCATGCTCCCTGTGAGAGCTTTAGTATCAGAAATCTGGGTTTGAATTTAGGCTTTTCCAGTTGTGGAATGGTAGTCAACCCCCAGCTTCACTTTTCTCAGCTGAAAGCAGTGTGACTACTACCCTATCTTATCGCGTTTTGCAAATTGGTGTGGCCTGTCTGCAAATGCCTGCCTTATATTCAGTGCTTCATAATACCAGGCTTCTTTCTCTGTCCAGGGCGCCATCCCGAGTTCAGCCCAGGAACCACTGCCCCCGCCCCTTTGGATTTCTCTTCTCTGCAGTTCTGCATCTTATGGTGATTATGATTACCTATTGCAGTATCTCAGGTATAGTGTTAAAAAGCTAGGAAGAAGCTAAGGAAACATTTTACAGATAATGAAGCAGAAGGGAGGTGATGAGAACCACCATCCTTGCTTTTAAAGAACTTGCAGTCTAGAAGGGGAACTGTGCCCCTTCCCCCACCCCTCAAGAGCCTTGGCAGTAGGCCTGGAAGCCCAAGCTCCCCTACCCTTCTAGCCCTTCCTGTTGTTTGGACATTCAGCATTGCTTTATTTTCCAGTTATTTCACCTGTGTCTTCGTTTTCTCCAAACTCACATTATGATCTTTTATACATTTCTTTTTTTTTTTAAGATTTTATTTATTTGAGAGAGAGAGAGACAGTGAGAGAGGGAACACAAGCAGGGGGAGTGGAAGAGGGAGAAGCAGGCTTCCTGCTGAGCACAGGACCCCAGGATCATGACCTGAGCCAAAGGCAGATGCTTAACGACTGAGCCACCCAGGCGCCCCTCTGTTAGACATTTCTCACTCAACTGTGAAATTCTGCCTAACGTCAAATGAGCATAATTTTGTCTTCTGGTTCTTTTGCTCCCTGCCTCCCTCCCTTTAATTCCTGAGAATAAAGCACCATAGGTAATGTGCTTGTTTACATTCCTGGTTGCTATTGAATTGAGGTAAGAGCAGAGGAAGATTCTTGCTCTGGTTAAAGTATAACTAGAAAGCACATGGAGAGGTACTTAGTTGGGTATCTGGCATGTAGATGTTTAGTGATCTTTTTATTATTAAAAGCTACTGAATAAAATTTTTTCCTCTGTTAAGATTTTTTTCCCTTGGTATTCATGACATGATGAAGTGGGCTGGTGGAAAATATTCCTATGGTAGGTACATATTTTTAACTCAAAATTAGTTCTGTTGGGTTTTGTCTTGTGTTGCAAAATATGTTGAACGTTGTTCCTTTTGGTTATAGGAGGTTTTGGGGTTTTGTTTTGTTTTGTAACTTTTGCAAACTTCCTCCATTCTCATCTATAAAGAACCAGACCCTGTTCAGGATCTTAGTGTATTACTGGAGATGAAGACGATGTGTTTGTGCAAGCTACTGTTTTCAAATGTGGGCATCCCTCAGTGTCTGAACTTTTGCTCTCCAGACTCAGAACCCAGATCCATTGGGAAACATTTTCTAGATAGGGCTGTTGGGTGGAAATAGTGTCTCTCACTATCCAAACTTGCACTGTCTGAAACTCGGGAACCTACTTGAATCTGAGAGCCAGGGAGAGTATTCCTATTAAGAGTCTACCCTTTAGACATCTAATATTACATCCAGTAGAAATAAAGAACTAAGGAACACCCTGTATGAGGTGGAATTTAAAGACCAGTTTAAAAGGTATGCTTGGTTTATGATCAGTAGGGCTGTGAAAGGAATGTACTTTAAACATCATTAAGCACCTGCCACATGAATGTCAATGTGTTTTATGCACAGAAAAGCATAGTAACTCTTAGATTATGCTTTTAGAGTATGTGTGTATCTTTGTTTTAAAACAGTAAGAACATTTGAATATTTAAATCCTGTTTGGTGGGCAAAAATCTTTTTCAAAAGCATGGGATCCATAGGGGAAAAATTAAAGAATTCTTATGATGTGGGTACAGTCAATTTGTGTCACTAGGAGAGATGTGTCTCTTCCTTGCCCTTGTAAACCTTGCTTGAGTGATGTCAATGATGTCTAGCCTCCATATGGACCTGTTAAAAATTATATTGTTTTTTAATTATAAAAGTAATACATGCGTGGGGCGCCTGGGTGGCTCAGTCGTTAAGCGTCTGCCTTCAGCTCAGGTCATGATCCCAGGGTCCTGGGATTGA